GCGGGTAAGGGACATCAACTCCATCCCATCTCCCACTCAGACTTAAAATCAATGCTACCCACTCACCAGAATCCATTAGTCAAATCAGTGTAACCACAGGACACTCCTCTCCAAAAACAAAGAAACTTACAAAGAGCTTCTTTCCTATTTCCTCCGTAAGTGTGTTTGATAGCTCACAAACGTTAAGAGAAACAGTGTATCCTTTTCCACAGCATACTCTTTCTTCTGCTCGATACTTTCACTAAATCAGCTGGCGATCTCCTTCACACTTCTCACATAGGTTGCTCGGAACCAGGATAATATTGCACCGATAAAAGACATATACTTCACATAGCATAAAATCTTTTTAACCCCTTCATGACTGAGGCCTTTTTTTCATTTTTTGCACCCATGTTATATTCCACATTTTAGGCCTGAAAATTACTTAAAACCCCCCAACATTATATATTTTCTGAATGCCAAGACCCTATAGAATAAAATGGTGGTAGTTGCAAATTTTTATGTTGCGCAATATTAGCGCAACTCCTTATTAAACCCCAATATTTAGTGAAAAATTTAATTAAATGCCCCAAAACACAACAAAATACCCATTTTTTTAATGAAATATAAAAGATGAGGTTACAACGAGTAAAACGATACCCAACATGCCCAGGTTACAAATTGCGTGCATCCGTAAAACGGCGAAAAACCCCAGTACCCCAAAAAGTCCATAGACGCTTTAAAAGCCCCCACAGGTCATCAATTTAGAGATACCCCAAAATACTGGCCCTAGAATTATTGCTCTCACTCACCCAACATTTGTAGCACGTTCATCGTTTTCATACGTAGGCGCACCTGACGTGTGTTTACGTGGCGACGCGCGGGGGCGGGGGACTTTAAAAAATTTTTTATTAGATTTATTTTATTTAAATTTAAACTTTTTTCTTTTTTTTTTAACTTCAATTCCCCAACGATAAAACCAAAAAGCTTCAATGGGGATCCACAATGGAAGGAAGATAGCAGCAACGTGTGCGCTCGTCCCCTTTTGTTTTGATTTATGTTGTGTTGACACGGCTGAAATCACACATTAATATGATTGATATCTATAGGTAATGTGGATGCTACCTAGAGTCTCTTCAGCTTCTCCTCCAACTTCTACTCCAGCTACTGCCTTTGCTACTGATCTTTCTGAACTGATGCAATTGGGTCTACTCCGAATTCCTTTGACCCCCGAGAAGTGGTGTTGCTGGCAGCTCAACCTCTGTCTTTACTGTGGTGGGGCGGGCCACTATGTGTGAGCCTGCCCTAACAAAGCCAGTATTTGTCATCTCTTCTGCAGCTACTCCTGATTATTTTGCCATTAGTTGGACCACTCCTATTGCTCTCCCCTTTTCTCTAGAGCCTCCAAAGTCAAGCTATCCTTGACTCAGGAGCATGTAGCTGCTTCATTGACTGTAATTTTGAGAATCAGTACCATATTCCTCTACAAGTCATGAAGACTCCCTATTCATCTTGTCCTGTAACACACAAACCTTACCAATTACTGTTTTACTTTGAGTCTGGCCATTCTGAACTGCTTTGATGTAATTGCTACCTCTATTTCCTATAATTCTGCCGCAAGTAGACCGGAATACAGGCAAGGTGATGTTCCAGTCCATCTATTGTTTACAGAACTGTTTTTGCCCTACTACCTTTGTGCCATCAGTGTCCCTCAGTCAACCTAAAGACAGTCCAGATCTGCATCAAGCTATCCCAGCAATTTATCATGATTACCTGGATGTGTTTGACAAGCGGAAAGCCGGCATACTTCCACCTCACAGGCCTTATGATTGTCACATTGACCTGTTACCAGGGGCAGAAATACCTTTTGGGCAAATTTTTCCATTATCTGAACCTGAGCTGGGGGCCTTGAAGGAATGTATGGATGAGAACTATGGGGATAAGTGTTTTTCCCCATAGTTCTCTTTAGGGTCACGGGAGGACATGTACTGACCACCTCCTGTGACCCAAAGCTCCGTATATAGCGGGTTATTGCAAGCGATATACTGTCGAGATCCACCCAGCTGCATGAGTGACAGCTTGCTCTGCTTATCTAGAGGCAGAGTCAGCTGTGTCAGCCCCCTCCCCCGTCCGTTCCTCCACTCAGCACTGGAGGATCGTGAGCGGGGATTCCCTGTGGGGACTGACCGGTCACCACTCACTGCAGGGAGACGATCGGCAAGAGAGCAGATCGGTGCATGTTTCTGCTCACTTCCTGATCAATAGAGCCGACCTGTGACAGCTTATTTGTCACAGGTCAGCTCTAACTATGAGGATGAGTGGAAATCACTCACCTCTTAGTTCTCCTTTTTTAAGGGTTTTATTCGCCCCTCCACTTCACCTGCCAGGGCTGGAATATTCTTTGTTGAAAAGAAAGACCAGTCACTTCGGCCTTGAATCAGATTACCATAAAAAAACGTTATCCACTTCCTCTGGTTCCAGAATTTTTTCAGAGACTTCGCTCAGCTACTATAATCACCAAGCTAGACCTCCGAGGGTGCCATGCTGTTCTCCGCTGGGAGCAGAGATCTCGCTGCCTGATCAGCAGCTACATGATCGGTCAGTTCTCGGTATGAGAGCTGGCATGGGACAACTGCAGTGTACCACACCGGCTTTAAGCAACGGGGAGAATATGCTTTACTCTCCCAGCACAACTTTAAATAAATTAGGTAGGATAATGTCAGGGGAGGATATATGCAGCATTCTGCATCAGCAAACACAATCTTATGGTGTGTATTTGCCATTTCTAGGCCCCGGATTTACAGATTCAAGAGACACTTGGACAAGAGGGATATGGGAACTATTAGTGACATGTATACACACATACTGGTTAAACTGGATGGACCTGTGTCTTTTTTCAATCTGGCTGCTGTACTGTCATCACTGCTCCCTCTCATGTCATATACCTTTTTAGAAATCCCTAGAGAGCAGCTGTAAAAATGGACGTTTCCTCATTTTATTTTCCTTACTATTTTTTTCCCTATTAGCTAACATTATGAGGTTTTGTTTTTTCTTGCTGATGTCAGCTATTTCTAGTAGATGGAATAGCTGAGGAACGTTTAAAGAAATATAACAAATATGTTCCCTTATTTTATATTTTTAGCATAAAATATTCAGCAACCAGACAATACCTTTTACCACGTTCCACACCAAAGCAACTAGGATTATGTGGTTCTATATTAGTAGATTGTGCTGTGTCCTGATATTTTTCAGCATGTGTCTTAATGGAGTACTTGAATGCATTTTTAAGATGGGTTATAACTAGTAGGAAAGTGCGTTTCTTGAAGAAAGAGCAGATCTTTTTTGTGCGGAGTGATAATGATTGAAAGCCACATGCCGTTTGACTGGCCAGTTAAGGCCTTGGGCATTATGCATTGCTATGCGTATGTCAGCTTTAAGGGAAGACATGAAATCTAGGGAAGTGTATAGAACTGGTCATGTCACCAAGTGGGTACTCCCCACCCAGCAGATATCGACCGAGGGCCCGAGTCACCGCTCCCAGGAGGCTCCCACGGGAATGCATCATGGGGTGGCTAGGCGTCCAGCTTTTCACCGACCGGGAGAGAGTAAGGAGGGAACACAGAGGGCACCTAATTGAGGTACAATTCGAGAGCTACCCAGTACGGGCAGCACACTTGGCACGAACAGGGGGAATCCCCGATGGTCGAGACAAGTGAGGGCGAACGACCACCACCGGCAGCCTAACCCCGTCCCGGCAATAGAATATTGTGAAATGTAGAATGAGCGGCTAATACCTCCCATAAGTCGTATATCAAAAAGAAAATGCACAGAGCATTGTAGCTGAGAAATTATGTTGTCCAGTCGGCCAGGTCCGCCCGAACGGGAGAAACCCCAGCAGGTGCAGGGCCTTAGGAGAGTGGAAGGCAACTGTGAGGGCGTAACCAGTAAACATTTTGGAAGGTCCATTGTAGAATGTTGGTAGGCACACTCCCGCCAAAAAAAAGGAAGAACAGGAACTATAATAGATCCTGAAGCAGGACATTGGCAGTCCTCAATGAGGGACTTGTAGGTATCAATTGAGGTATAGCAGAGATTCCAACGCCCACAGGCTCTCATGTCGGGGCTGTAAGAGCTGAAGAGTGTTGATGTGGACGATCCCAGAGTGGTGATGATGGAATAGTTGGGACTCCTCTGCTCGTAGAGACTTGCAGTAAATTCTTGCCCAGCTGCAGGGGATCCATCGCGATGAGGCCCATTTGTAGGAGCAGTGTCACACGTGCCGCTGCCATGTTGGATTCCCGTGTCTCAGGCCGGAGCATCTTCGGCTGTTTCTTGGAGCTTTTGGGTCTCCCCCCGGCCATCAAGGTGGACACTGAGGCTCGGGGATGTTGTGCCTAGCGGAGGTGAGGTGGAGTGGAGCGGCCGAGGGCCGGGATCGGGGTGACATGGCTGCCGTGGGGTGGAGCTCACACGCTAGGCGGCCATCTTAGTGGCGCCCACGCATGCGCCCCTTGATTTCTGTTCTTTGATGAAGGCGCTATTTGATACATGACCGCTTACCGCATAACCAATATACTATTGGGGATGTGGGGAATGTGGCATGCTTTTCAACATATGGTGGCAGTGCCCTAAGGCTCAAAACCTTTAGAGCAGGGATCTCAAACTCATTTCACGCAAGGGCCACTGGACAAATTTTGTTCTCCCATGGGGCCCCTTGCCAAATTTCATAATTAAAAATAAAATGTAATTATATATGGTACCAGGGTTAATGTCTGCGTGTGTTTATATTGGCAGTATGTGTTTGCGATGGTTTCTATTTATGCAATGTCAGTATATTTTTGTGATGCTTTGTGTTTCCTGTCAGGATTTCTGTGAATTATGTTGGTATGTGTTGTGACGGACCCCGGTACTCAGGATGAGTATGTCCGCCTCTGTAACCTTCCTTGCTCAGGAGATATTGCACCCCGGTGATCTTTAGCACCCAGTCACTAGCTGGAACCAAGTGTAGGGTGAAACAAACTCTCTTATTGAGCAACTGTGCAACCATTTCTACACAAAGTGATCAGATAAGATTATAATCCCATCACATATACCGTGCCCTCTCCACACATTCTGACTGCACAACCCCGCAGGGGTCTAGCTGCTAAAGAGCTCCATAGCAGGAGTCTGGCCAGATGCAGGAGAATGTCATTGTCCTGAGCTCCTTGGACTACAAAGGGTGCACACATAACCCATAAACAGATGAGCATGTCGTCACGTGTGTGTGTGTGTCTCACGTGCCTTGCTGTGAGCCGGAAGTGATGAGGAAGGCCTTCCCTTGCAGCTCTTGTCTGAGCCCCACTGGAGATGGAACAGTAGTTGTACAGACAGAGGGATACAAGTGCCTGTGGCTGGTATGAGTGTTTGACACACTGGATACGCTGATGTTGACAGCAGGATGTCAGAGGTAGCTGGTGGCAGATCAGACGACACTGGTGTGAGGAGCTGAAGTGTAGTCAGGAACAAGCGGAAGAGCCGCTCTGCTCAGTAACGGTTTGTTGGGGGCGTGCGTGCCCGGCGGGGGGCGTGCCTGGCGGAGGGGCGGGAGGGAGCTGCGGCTAGCACTATCTTCAGGGATTTCTGTAATATGAGATCTACCACCGAACTAGGTCTTATTTTGGGGGGAGGTCTTATATTACAGAAACCCCTGAAGATAGTGCTAGGTCTTATTTTCGGGGTAGGTCTTACTTTCGGGGAAACACGGTATGTGATATGATTACATTTAGTGATTTGTGTTCTATCTCTGGACGCATCGATCGTGCATCCAGGGAAAGTGATTGTTTTCTAACTACATGTAACCATATTACATGTTGTTGTGTGCTGGCATTTACAGGCTGCGGCTATTGCCCCGATCATTAATTTGAACGAGTGATGGTTGTCGCTTGTAAACACCAGATTTCCTGCTGCAGGAAAACGCAAGCTCCTGACGCATGAATCCCTAATTTTGTTTGTTTGAATATCTCCTCTTTTGAACCACCTGTAAGTAAGCTGATTGTGTTTTAACCCTTAAAAAAAAAATCTAAATATTTTTTCGTCCTTCAAGGTTTGCCGTCTACGTGGAATACCACCCCTGATCAGTCTCCTGGAAGATTCAAGGGCTTCTGTCAGGCTTGCAGCATGTGGTGCACTAAAGAATCTCTCATATGGCCCTGCACGGGAGAACAAAATGGCTGTAAAGAATTGTGATGGCGTGCCAGCTTTGGCGAGACTCCTGCGCAGGAGAGGAGATGGGCAAGAAGGGAGGGAGATGGCTGAGTGTGTAACTGGTGAGCCAGAGATTTTATACAGGTTTAAGAGTAGGCTAGCGTTTGCTAATTTCCTATAATTACTGGATAAAGGAAAATTTATTTTAAAAATGCACGTGTCTTTCTTCGTATGTGTCTGTTAATTATATATTATTGGTAAATATTCACTAGGCACTCTTTGGAATTTGTCTTCTCTGGATTCTATCAAAATGGAGCTTGTGGATCAAGCCTTGTACACTTTGACCCAGGAGATCCTGGTCACCTATTCTGGATGGCAAAAAGAAGGTGTATTGGCAAATGCAGAGAATGGGAAATCCCAGCATATTGAATGGGAACCAGCTCTAATTAATACAACAGGTTGTTTGAGGTAAGCATGCAGAGATAATTTGTGCTTTAAATTTTTTTTTAAGTGACACTGTCTCCACAGTGTCTAGAATTAAAGATCTTAGTCTGTAAGAGCCCGTTCACACCAGTTGCAGTGCGTTCCGGCCCGATTCTGGCCAGAATGCAATGCCTCGCATTGTGGTCGGCTCACTTTTTAGTGGGGTGGGAGGGGGTGTGACGGGCCATTTGAAATGAATGGCACCGTAGCCACGTCTTCCGGCTGCAGTGCAATTGCCCGCATGGGATCGCAAGGCACATTGTGCCTGCGGTCCGGTCCAGTGTGGTGCGATCAAAATGCTGCAAGCACTATTTTGATCGGACCGCAGGCACAATGTGGTGCACACGGGTGATCGCATTGTGGCCGGTGGACGTCGCTATGGTGCCATTCATTTCAATGGCCAGTCACGCCCCCTCCTGCCCTACAAAAAAGTGAGCCGGCCGCGATGCAGTGCGTTCCGGCCAGATTCGGACTGAAACACACTGCATATGGTGTGAAAGTACCCTTAAAGAAGATACTCTATATTGTGCTTGCATTTCTAGCAGCACATGTGTTAAAACTCTGACGTTGCTCATAACTAGTTGCGACAGGTGTCCGAAACTTTGAGGGGTGACAAATACCTGCTCCTCCTGCCATGCTCTGTGGCCTCTGACCAGCTCACAGGTTCTGTTGTAGGAGCCAGTGAGTGAAACCATAGTGTGCATAGGAGTGGGTATTTACACACCCAAAAGTTTCCATCAGCCAGGGATCAGAAACGTTGTAGCTTTGTACCACACAAGCTGCCAAAAAGGTAAATATAAAGCATTTTCTTTTACTGATTGTTTATATTTTATTTTCAACCCTGTAGTGTCAGGGTACATTTTAAAGCTAATTGTACTTGTACTTGTATAACCTTTTTAAAGTAAAGCATCTTAACAATAAACCTTCTCATTCTAGAAATATCTCATCTGAACGATCTGAAGCACGCAGGAAAATGAGAGAGTGTGAGGGGCTGGTGGACTCTGTAGTTCACATATTGAGGTCAGAGGTTGGTCATGGACACGTTAACAGCAAGGTACAGATTAATGCTCTTCTCAATTAGAAGTGAATTCCAGTTCTATGTAAATCCAATTTTAAAAATTGTCGTTTTTCTAGTCACTCTACTGCTTTCTATAGAGGTGGACAATTTAACACTTTTGCTGCTGCCGACTTATGCCATATGTCGGCAGTAGAAGGGCCCTGTAAGCAGACTCTGTTTAGATATGTTAAGCTGACTGTTTTACACTCCGTGACGAAAACGCGAAATTATTTAATCCACACGGATTCGCTTATTTTCGGCTATTTTATAGCCGCTAATGTGCGGAATCCGCTGTATTATCGCGCTTACACTATTTTGGGGGCCGCACAGTTTCTGCAATGGTATGAACAATGCATATTAAAGTACATTTGTTTTCTGTTTAGAGCGGTACCGGGTGTATTTGTATAGCCGAATATGCGCGGACCACCGCTCCAGTGTGTATGGAGCCTCACTGGAGACAGGGAGTAATATTGTCCAAAGTGAAGTGAGCCCCCACCCCACTTTTTCTCATAATTGGTCATAATACGACTGGTGGGTGAGTCCTTGATTGATTAGCAGTGTTCATGGGTCAGTTCACCACCTTTATTAAGTAGCCACAGATGGCACAAGCATAGAACTGTCTCTGTGGAGTTTAAACATGATGTTAAAATTTGACTTACCGTTTGATTTAAACAATAGATGGGACACAGCCTACAGCGGCATTCCTGTATCGGTTTATTTCAGACTCTTCTGATGGGGCTAGATCTTTATTGCCCCTTCCTACCTCCTGTATGTTCCTATTGGTCAGTGAATTTGCCCAACATAGTGATAGGCCAATTGAATTTTTGGGGGTTACTCAATTGTCTGTATTTAATACCTGCATCAGTTTATTCCCTTTCCCTGTTGTCCTCTGTATTTACCAGTGGCCTCTTGATTGCTTATTTGAGTGTCCCTTTTACTGTTGCCATAGCTACTACTAACTAACCCTATGTAAACAAACTGCAAAAGCAGCTGGGAGTTTGTTTACATTTCTAAAGTGTGCAGCTGGCTTTCTTAGAGACGTTCTTCAGGCTGGGGAAAAATGGCTCCTGCAGCAAAGGCGTTAACGTTCTTAGAGTTACTGAGTTCTAGTGACTAAGTATTTATTTATGATTTTGCTTAGTCATTTTGTTTCAAGACAGATGGCTCCAACTCCCTTTTGCTCTGCTTCCTTTAACTTCCTCTTGAGTATAAGAGCACAAGGCAGGCTCCAGTAGTTGTCCCTCTACTAGCTTTGAGGAGAGCAGGGGAGTGGCTTGCCTGTGTGTTTGTGTCTTCTTCAGGACTTTAAGAATAAAAAATGTTCAAAGAGGTGAATATTTGGGAAAGCACTGTAAGAAATGTTTGTTTTGTCATTGTGTTTTCTGTTTCATTTACCCTTTAGCTTGTGGAGAACGCTGTGTGCCTGCTTAGGAATCTCTGTTACCACATTCATCGTGAGATCCCACAGGCTGAAAAATATCAGGAAACCCCACAATCCACTAATACAGAACCACAAAATCCTAGTTGCTTTGGTGTGCGACGTGGTAAAGGTATTGTCTAGTTGCTGAATATTTTATGCTGTTAAATAAAAAAATAAGGGAACATGTTTGTTATATTCCTTTAAACGTTCCTCAGCTGTTCATCTACTAGAAATAGCTGACATCAGCGAGAAAAAAATACATGACTTTAGCTAATAGGGAAAAAAAAGTAGTGAGGAAAATGAAATGTGGGAATGTCCATTTTATACTAGTTTTTACAGCTGCTAAAGGGATTTCTGAAGGCATATGACATGAAGATGGGAGCAGTAATGAGGACAGTACAGCAGCCTCTCGGCAGAGAGACTGCTGAGCTAAACTGTGGCAACTGAAAAGCGTAGTGGGGTTCTGAACAAGGATGATGCTCACTCCTGTGATGCTGGGGTCAAGTGTCCAATTGCTTGTTCACCCTGAAAAGACACATGAGCTTTAATAGCATCCTAGTCTTAGTCCATAGAGTTCAGTATTGAGTTGGCCCACCCTTTGCTGCTATAACAGCTTCAACTCTTCTGGGAAGGCTGTCAACAATGTTTAGGAGTGTGGTCTATGGGAATGTTTGGCCATTCTTCCAGAATTTTGTGAGGTCAGGTACTGATGTTGGACGGGAAGGCCTGGCTCGCAGTCTCCGCTCTAATTCATCCCAAAAGTGTTCTGTCGGGTTGAGGTCAGGACTCTGTGCAGGCCAGTCAAGTTCTTCCACCCAAAACTCGCTCATTTATGTCTTTATGGACCTTGCTTTGAACACTGGTGCACATTCATGTTGGAACAGGAAAGGGCAATCCCAAAACTGTTCCCACAAAGTTGGGAGCATGAAATTGTCCAAAATGTCTTTGTATGCTGATGCCTTTAAGAGTTCCTTTCACTGAAACTAAGGGGCCAAGCCCATCCCCTGAAAAACAACCCCACACCGTAATCCTCCCTCTACAAAACTTTACACTTGGCACAATGCAGGCAGACAAGTACCGGTCTCTTGGCAACGGCCAAACCTAGACACATCCATCAGATTGCCAGATAGAGAAGCGTGGTTCGTCACTCCAGAAAACAAGTCTCCACTTCTTTAGAGTCCAGTGGCGGCGGTCTTTACACCACTGCATCCGACGCTTACACTTGATGTAAGGCTTGCATGCAGTTGCTCAGCCATGGAAACCCATTCTATGAATCTCTCTACGCACTGTTGTGCCAATCTGAATGCCACACGAAGTTTGGAGGTCTGTAGCTATTGACTCTGCAGACAGTTGGCGACTTCTTCTCACTGTGCGCTTCAGCATGTGCTGACCCTGCTCTGTCATTTTTCGTGGCTGAGTTGCTTTTGTTCCCAATTGCTTCCACTTTGTTATAATACCACTAACAGTTGAATGTGGAATATTTAGTAGCAAGGAAATTTCACGGATGGACTTATTGCACAGGTGGCAACCTATCATGGTACCAGGTACTTGATTGTATACACGTGTGTCCATGGAGGTGATTGGAACACCTGAATCCAATGATTTGGAAGGGTGTCGCAATACGTTTGGCAATATAGTATATCTGAGCCACATACAGGTGCCTGGCCCCCTTTGGAGTGCACATTTTTAAAACTTTTTGTAAGCAGGACAGGATGCTGACATACAAAGAGAAATAGTGAAAAGATCTCTGTATCTACTGATCATCTGACATTCCATTTTCATTTTAACTGAAAGTAGCCTCTGTTTTACAAAATGTTCACAATGCTCTGTATTCCAGATTTGTGATGGTGTTTTGTTTTTTTTTTTGCTTTTTCTTTATCCCCGCTGCCTTAGCTTTCCTAGCAATTTTAACTTTGGGACGTTTGACTTCACTATGGCAGATTTAATGTAACTTGTATATCTAGTCAAGTGTTCTTTTCAGTAGTCTTCTTATGGCTAACCCGATTGTTTCTTAGGAAAAAAGACTCCTGAAGAGGCACCCGACAGTGTGGATTTTCCAAAGAGAACAGTTCCCGCAAAAGGTAACTAGTTTAAAGAACAGTGAGGTTAATTTCTCAAAACTGGAGCAGTTGCCCAAGGCAACCAATCCGCTTCTATATTTTAATTTTCAAAGCTTAACTGAAGAAACTAAAACGATAAGCTGATAGAATCTGGAGCAGTTGTTCATAGTAATCAATCTGCTCTAGTTTTGATAAATTCTGCCAAGTATGTTTAATGGTTTTTCAGAGGTTGGATATTTTTATTTAGCCCTTTTGCATATTTGCTTAATGCGTTTTCAATTAAAATCAGTGGTAATGCATCAATATGCATGTCAACACATGCTTTGACACCTGTCATGAATGCAAAGTGTATTGCAGGGTGTTAACGTGATACAATTGCATTTGTGATTTGTTTGTAAACCCTTGTTTTTATATATAGTTTGTGAGAGGTTTATTCGGTATCATTTTTTTCAACCTTTTTAATGATTCATGTGACTAGATGCATATGTATGTATAGTCTTGTGGTCTCAGACCATGAATTATGCAGCTGATTACAGGTGATGGAACAGTGGCAAACAAATCTGTAAGGACAGCCCTGTAGAACTCCTTCCACTCTCAACAAGCCTGTTTCTTGGCAAGTAATGAGGAGTGAATCCGTACAGTAGAAACGGTCGCACGTCTTCGTTCACACTGCTCGATTCTCGTACGATCGCGGGAGTTCCCGCAATTCTCGTACGAGAATCGAGCAGTGTATGGGCACCTATAGAAACAATGACTGTGAAGCAATGACCGCAACATATTAATTCTGGACCTGTTTTAAATTTGAAGCCTCTTTTGTTTAATTTGGTTGGCCCGGGTTCCACTAGGATGTCTGCGCAGCCCACCTTCTGTTGACTATACTCTGCATGTGCGCACCATTTTTTTTTTTTTCTTTCACTCAATGCATGCCGACCAGATTTTCCTCCACTTCCTGCGGTCAGTAAAGATCACACAGTGGTCCTAGGACATACTGGGCCCCTCTGCCTAAAGTGACTGGTCACAGAAGGCACACCCTTCCTACCTCAACAAACATGGTGGGATCATAGGCACAAGGGGATTGGGTCTGGGCTGGCCCAATCTGCCCACTCAGTTAACAGAGCTGATTTGATTACTTCAACTGCTGCCTTTTGGGTGCTCCCTCCTCCCCTCCCCTGCTATTCAGGGAGAACATTTTCAGCTGTCTGAATGTATGGTTTGGCCCTATTAGAGGTCTCAGCCCAAAGGGGCATCATATGGGCCCTTGTCATCCTCTCAGGCAGAGTCTGTCTCTGATTTCCCTCTGACTTATCCCTCTCTTTCATGAAGAGAAGGATGAGGATGATTCCCTTTTCGATTCAGGGGATGGGGGCCCACTCCACAGAAATACCTGTAAAACTGAAGGATACCACTGTATCCTTATTGACACCGTTCATACGTGCTTGCCTTAGAGCAGTCTGCGTCAGCCTGACCAAAGGTCGCTAGCCTAGGTTCCCTGAAAATGCAAAGACCATACCTGTGCACTCGCTTTTACAGCCTGTGTTGCACTGGGTGTCAGGGTGTCAGACCTCACCCTGAAAACATTTTTGTCCCTCCTAAAAGTGTTGCACAGCAATACCTAACTGAGAAGGATTTGCTGAATAAATGGGTGGTTCCAGCCATTTCATGCCTTTTTACAAAACCTTGATGGTCTCTGTTGAGAATGTCCCTGTGTTCATGGACCCAGTAGACAAAAGATTGGAGGCCCTTCCTAAGGCCCTGTTCTCCATTGCACGTTCTGCTATGATGCCTGCTTTTGAAATCTTGGCTGTATGGTCTAAGGACATACCTAGCGTCCCCAGATGTGTTGTGACACATCTCCCTGTTCAACAACTGGAACTCTGGCCACGGCCCTTTTCTGTGTTGACAAATTAACTTCTTTGTGGTAAATATTAGGGCTGTGGAAATGAAAGATTCATTTCTCGATTAATCGTTAAACTTTTTGATCGATTAAAATTATTTTGATCGCTAATGAAAACACATTTACCTCTCCGCTGGCTTCCGGGAGTCCCGTCGGCTAACGAAGGGAAGGGGGGAGGAGTCCGGTGACGTCTATGTCCGTGACGGCTAATGAAGGGAAGGGGGAGGAGTCCGGTGATGTCACCGGACTCCTCCAACCCCCCCCCTTCGTTAGCCGACTGAGCCACTTGGGCCAGTGGGTTTGCCCAAGAAACTTTCTGCACGAGCGCCAGCCAAGGCATAGGCCTATACACATACAGCACAGCAATGAAGTAATAAAATGAACTAGGATCACACTAATCCAGCACGTTATTATTCTGAGTTGCCCCACTCAAGCGGCGGCCATATTGAGTGGGGCATGTGAGATTAATAACGTGCTGGATTAGTGTGATCCTAGTTCATTTTATTAATTGATTGCTGTGCTGTATGTGTATAGGCCAATGTAGTTGGATCTGTATGTGCGTTAATATTGATTAAAAATGTTTTAGATTAATCGAACACGAACATTTTTATCATTACCAGCCCTAGTAAATATGCAAAAGATTCTCCTTGTGCAAAAAGTGTCTCAAGAGATGCCCTGTGGATGCCTCTTTGGTGACTCCTTGAATACCTACATCAAGGAAGTCATGACTGAGAGGTTTACCCTGTTACCCCAGACAAAAGGAGACCAAAGCACTTGCGGGTAGGCTTCACCGTCGGGGCATTCCCTCTGTGGGATACCTGAACAATCTCCTGCTGAAGGAGCAATCGTTCCAGACTATCAACCAATGTCCAACGGACCGTGCAGAGCTTCTATTGTATACTTAATTTCTAGAAATCAGCGTTGTATCCAACTTACTGCTTGGAATATCTGGGCCTAATTTTGGATATGGCCCTGCCCAGCATCTAACTTCCGCAGACCAAACTCTGGCCTCTCCGCTGCAATGTTTTGACCCTACGGTTCAGGAGTTACCCAAACATTCACTTTTGCATGAAAGTAATGCGACCAATGGTCTTTTTTAAGCTAGCACCTTATGGCCAGTTCCATTCCCGACTGTTTCAACTCAACAATCTGGCAGCGTGGCACAAACAGTCTGGGCCTCTGGATGGCTACATACATCTGTTCAACATAAACAGGCTTGCCCTTGCAGATTCCCAATATGGCGCTAGAATTATGAAAATCCTTTTTTCCAATGACTTGGAAGGTGCATGCAGCAAATGCTAGCCTGTTAGGCTGGGGGGAATGCCTAGATACCCTCTAAGTCCAGAGGAGTTTACTAATGGACGAATCAGTATCTTGGCAATTCAGTTGTCCCATCTTTGCTGGACTTCTCGAGCAGGGTCACCTAACCAGGATTCAGTTTTACAATTCAACAGCAATGGCCTGCATCAACCATGGGGGGAAGCACCAGAAGTCAAGCAGCTCAGCGAAGTGGATCAGATTCTGGCTTGGCAAGAACTTTGTATTTCGGCCCTGACCACTGTGCACATCCTAGGCATAGTAAAATTGTCAGGAGAACTTCCTCAGTCATCAATATCTGGATTATTGAGAAGGGTCTCTCTGCCCAGAGGTGTGTTCAGCTCTCTGTCACAGGTGGGAAACATTGAACGTAGACCTCCTGGCATCCACGATCAAAAACAAACAAAACTGGTTTGTTACCACACTCTGGGAACAGTTTAACCTGATTTTAAAACGTTTCCTGTCGTAAGCTCTTCTCATCCTCTCCATAGGATTGAGAAGGAGGGCATTCCTGTGATCTCATTGCTCTGATCTGGTCCAGGAGGAGTGGTACTCTGATATTCTTAGACTGCTGTCAAAGTCTCCGTGGGCCTTTCTTATCTAGATCTTCTGTCCCAGGGGCTGGTCCATGATCCTTCTACTCAGTCGCTGGCTTTAACTGCTTCTCTTTTTAAAGAAGAACTATGAGGTGAGTGCTTTTCACTCACCTCATAGTTCTAGCCGACCTGTGACAATGAGACTGTCACAGGTGGGCTCAGTAGATCAGGAAGTGAGCAAACACATCCCGGTGTTCGCTCACTTCTCGATCCTGTCACGGCTCCCTGCCGTGACAGGGGAGGGGCTGGATTCCCCCTTCCCCGCTCCGATCCTCCAGCGCTGACTGACGGAACGGATGGGGGAGGGGGCGGGTATCGCTGGCTCCGCCTCTAGATCAGCAGAGCCAGCTGTCACTCACGTAGCTGGGCGGATCTCGACATCGATGTCGGGATCCGCTCCAGCTGCGGCGTCTCAGCTCGCGGTATACTGAGCTTAGGATGACGGGAGGACGCTAGTTTGTGTCCTCCCGTTACCCTAAGGAGAACTATGGGAAAAAGCCCTGACCCCATAGTTCTCCTTTTTAAATGCTAGGCTCTGGATAAACAGGGGCCTAGCAGATTCGGTCATCCCTACTCTCTTAAAGGCTAGGAGGTCAAAGTCTTGTGAAGCCTACCATCTTACCATGGAGGCCCGCTTTGCATTGTACAAGGTTATCAACAGGGCTTGAAAAATTTGATAGTGTCTCACCAGTCAGTCAGCATGACCTGACTATAGCCTTGCAATTTATGTTAAAAAAGTTTGGGGACAGATAGAGCTTTCTTTTTGGAGGTATATAATCACCACATGGTTTTTGTTTTTTTTTATTATATAATTTAAAAAGTACCATAAATGTTTAAAAAAAACAGTTTCCCTACGTTATGTTAAACATTTAATCTTACCCATATTTTTAGTAAAACAAAAGTCAGGGTCACGTCGGGTAAATAGACACCAAACATGTCAAGCCTTAAATTGCGTGCACCCGCAAAAAATCGCAAAAAACGCCCATAGGTGAACAGTAAAAGCGTTTTAATCGTCATCAGTTTAGTGTTATCAGTGATTAAAGGAGAACTATGGGGTCAGGGCTTTTCCCCATAGTTCTCAGTGTAACGGCAGGACACAAATTAGCGTCCCCCATCACCCTAAGCTCAGTATACCGTGAGCTGCAGCTCGCGGTATACTGAGATGCCGCAGCTGAAGCGGATCCCGACATTTATGTCTGGATCCGCCCAGCTGC